CAAAAAAAATAGAAAAAAAATCCGTTAAGAATGGAATGTAAACTTAAGTGTGAAATACTTATCTTGCTTATTTAGTTGGCATTATCTATGAACTTTGTGAGTTTTTCGGTTTGTCCCAAAAAGAAGAAGCAAAAACTATAACTGTGGTAGACTGACTCTCAGAATGGTGCCCAATGATCTCAGCCTCCTGACACACTTGTGTATGATCCTCTTCCCTTTTCATGAGCAAGATTTATTCAAAGACTTCTCACGAATGGGATATTTAAAAAAGTGATGGCTTGTCACTTCTGTTAGGGCATAAAATACTGGCTTCCGTCTCAGACACTCTCTCTTTGATTGCTCATCCTGGGGCTAACCAGCTGCTAAGTCAAAAGGCAGCCCTGTGGAGAGAACCACATGGCAAGAGACCAAAGGCTGTCAACAAGCAATTGAATGGGCTTAGAAGCCAATGTGCCTACCTCAAGTTGAGCCTTCACAGGAGGATGCAGCCCAACTAATGGCTTAACCATAACATCATCAAAGAACTTCAGAGCCAGAAACATTCAGCTAACCTCTACTGGGATTGCTGATTCCCTCAAACCTATAATAAATATTTGTTATTTTAAACTGATAAGTGGTGGGATATTATACTATAAGACAATAGATAATTAATGCAGTTGTACTGAGCGATGGCATTATATTAGACTTCTCACAGTCAACTGTCCAGTTCTGAATTATTTTAGTAGAAAGGTTACTGGCTTTCCCAAGCTGCTATATACACAGCAATTAATCAACACTGCTTGAAGGTGGATTCTTAATACTTTTCCACATGTCCTATGGTATAAATTCAGTGCATCTTCAAATAATCATTTTAAAGAAGATTATATTACTCTTTGGGAACTACACAGACTAAACTTTCTGTGTATGTATGATCTAATAGTATCCCCTGTAGAGACTCACGAGCACTAGGTGTTTACCTGTCAATTCTTTGATTCCTTCCTTTTTGTCCATTAGCCATTTTCACATAGTTCCAGTTCCATTAGAAGGTTTTTACCGCCCCATTTCCTCACTCAAGAAATAAAATCTGGAGGCTGGACAGATGGCTCAGTGGTTAAGAATACTGACTGTTCTTGCAGAAGACCCGGGTTCAAATCCCAGCACCCGCATGGCAGCTAACAACTGTCTGTAACTCCAGTTCCAGGGGATCTGACAGCCTCTTCTGTCCTCCGTGGGCATTGCATGGCACAGATGCACTGACCTACATGCAGGCAATACACACATACACATAAAATAAAAAATAATAACTAAAATATTTTAAAAAGAAATAAAATCTGAAAAAATAAATTCTAGTGATATAAATCTAGATAAAAATCTCAATTTGATCATACCAAGATTAAAAATATAGCTATTTATTTTGAAGGGCAGGGATGTCTGAAAAACTATGAAATATCCATGAGATAAAAACATGGTTCAGGAGCTGGAGAGATGGCTCAGCAGTTAAGAGCACTGACTGTTCTTACAGAGGACCCGGGTTTGATTTCCAGCACCCACATGGCAGCTAACAACCATCTGTAACTCCAGTTCCGGGGGAATCCAATGCTTCCTTCTGACCTCCGTGGGAATTGCATGACACAGGTGCACTTACACACATGCAGGCAATACACTCATACACATAAAATAAAAATAATGAATAAAATATTTTTAAAAAAGAAAATATCATGGTTCATCAGAGGGAATCACATTAGTCCAACAACCTAATGACAAATTACATATACAATATCTCTACATGAGTCCTACGCATAGCTAAAGGCTACATAACAAAAAAAAAGTGCCAAACAGGAGAAACCTTCCTTTGAGTTGTTGGCCAGGGTGATCCATACACACAGAACATACTTAGGACACAGGATTTGGAGCAATAGAGTTGGAACTGACCTGGAAGCCACAGACCCTGAAGGCTAGCTCTCATAGCTTTGAAGAACACTATGAAAGTGCCAAGGGAAAGTATCAATCGATGGTCCAACACCAAATTCAAGATCAAATAACTACATCAATGTCCGGCACAGCATATGACATTGGTACAGTAGTGGCACTTTCATCTTGGGGGCAATCAACGGCTACCAAATTGGACTAAAAGCCCACTCAATGGGAGGATACTCAACTGCGGTACTATAAACATAACCAAATATGGCTGGAGAGGTCATAGATCTTAGAAAAAACCCCAAGACTGTCACATCATTAGACTAATGTAATGTCTTACAATATGCAAAATATGTATCCTTATATTTACAGACAGGTATCCCAGTCACCACTCATCAAAGAAGCTTCTTTTGCCCCAGATGGAGACTGTTCCCAAGTACCACAACTGGTCACACACAGACATTGTCTATGAATTACTCAGGCTTAAGTGACACATCTACAATGCAACCTCTACACCTAAGGCTCACAGAACATAGAACAGGGGTAAAGAGGACACTCATGAATCTCTCAGTTCACATTAATGAAGCTCCCTCATGCAACAGAGGGCCAGGAACACAAAAGGTCACAAATGGCCAAAGTGTAGAGGTTAAGAGTCTGCAGAACGTTGGTCCTTGGGCAGGACTCCTATATCAAACTTCACTCACCAAGGGCTCAGGGAGCATTGTGGAAGGGGGAGTGGAAAGATTGTAAGAGCCAGGGAAGAGGTGCACGATCATATAGAAATAGAGTCCTACATGCTCCTGGGACCCTGCTCATATGAATCTATAGCAATGGTGTCAGCATACACAAGTCCTGAGCCTTGTGTGTATGCAGAATGAGGCAGACAAAAACCCAGCATAGAACCGGGGAAACGGACAGCAGACCCCAATCTTCACTGAAGAAATATTGCCAACTGATTACTTCTAGGTGAGGAAGAACTGATCTTCCTAAAGCGAGGGACACTAGATAAGCAGACTAGACCTCCGTAGATGGGCTTTCACTAAGGAATGTCTGGGGACACTAACTTGACACAATAGGCCTTAAGACAAATGACAGAATGCATGAACCTGTGGGGGGGGGGAGAGGCTGCTATGGGAGGGTGTCAGTGGGGAAGGGGGTATTAAGATTGAGATGTTCTGTACGAAATACCCCAAAAGTTAATAAAAACAAATTAAAAAAAAAAACATTGTTCATTAGCTGGTAAAGAGGATATGAGGTAAAACTGGGATATTATAGAATTCTAGTGATAATTGGACTCAGGGAAGAAATGAAACAAAGAAAATATAGCCGGGCAATACCAGTTAAGCTTCTGACAGTTTCAGGACTTGGGGAACCTTTATTCATTATTCATAAAGGAATTTGAGAACCTAAAATGTACTCAGTTCTGTGCCATTCAATATAGGGATATAAAGGCACTATTTGACTTTGTCCTTGCCTTCAAGAACACTATTAAAAGATTTTGATCAGCTGTCAGTGAAATTACTTTCACATGAAATAATTAGAGAACTACAAGGCAGTATGTAATATATTGAAAATAATGTAAATCGGTCCTGGTAACATGACAAAGTGAAGAAGATGGAACCACGTATACAGGCAGAATACTGGATGAAAATCCAGATTTCAGGTATTCTGTCATATATATTAAGTCCTATCCAGTCAAGCATTTGTATCCAGATGTCTTCTTTTTAAAAAATATTTTCTTTATTATATTTACGTGTATGAATGTATTGTCTGCATATCGGTAGGTGTGCCCATGTTGTATAATGCCTGAGGAAGTCAGAAGAGGGTATCAGATCCCCTGGAACTGGAGTTATAGATGGTTGTTAGCTGTTACGTGGGTGCTGGGATCTGAAGCCAGGTTTTCTGCAGGAACAGTCAGTGCTCTTAACTGCTGAGCCATCTCTCCAGCCCCGCCATATATGTTCTTTTTCAAAAAGAAAAAAAGGTATTTAAATTTGTATTTTAAATTAGAAGTCAAAGGAGGAATGTACATTGTATAAAAGTTATGCGGAGTTGAAATGTGAATACTTTAAAGTTTTGAAGTAAACATTAATCTTGGCCCAAATGTTTCACATTAAAACTACGTAATGCAAGATCTGAATTTAATTTAGAAAGTGTGTAGATTTCTTACCAGAATACACTAAAAACTCAGTTTTCAAAAAAGGTGAACCATTGGCTGTGATGTGGTTAAGATTGTATAGAAAACCTTCATTTCTATATGTACTGCAAAGTTAAAAATGAAATACTGAATAAGTTTTGAGTGACGTGTTTCTAAAGAAGAACTTTCTGTGCTTTCTTAAAACATTGGCCTTCAAAAGCAGGAACCTCTGAGTGTTGGGAAGTTCCTCTTCACAACTTGCAGGGATTATATCATGCAGAGTTCAGGCTCATCGATGCAAAGTTAGAAAGCTACTGTCACCCCAATTACAGACTGTTCTACAGAAGAAAGAGCGTTTTAGAGCCACTCACTTGGGGACTGATCAATTTATGCTTTTACTAAGATCTTTCTTTTTGATGATTCATCAAAAAAGAAAACTATTTCAGATAATATATTATCCTGTACTTATTGTTAAAATGCTCTTTAAATCAAGGCTAAGCATTTCATACTTCAGTAAAAATTAGGGCATTGGAACAACTGAATAGTTCCTTAGATTGTGTTTATTCAGTTTGATCCAGAGGAAAAAAAGGAGAAGGAAGAATATGTGTTTATCAGAAACGATGAAAGAAAGGATAGATCCTCATTTCATTTTAAAATGAAATCCAGACTTTAAAAAATCTGCTGAAATCATTGTATTTCCTTCATGAATTTCAAAGGGATGAAATACTATGAAGGTTCTACTCCTGTAGCCAACAAATCTATCTTGTTCATGATAAATGATTCAGATTTCTGAAATATCCATGATAAAAACCCTAAGCCTTCAGCTTTTTGGTTGGGTAGAAATACAGGTGAATCTTAACTACGTATAAGATGAGGCTGCCCTCAGTCCCCTGATGAGCAAGATGGAAAGGGAATCTGTGTTTAAAGACTGTCCACACAATGAAAGAAAACAACCACAACACAGACATTTGTAGTTGCTCTATTTATTAATACATATATCACAAATGTTCACAATATCAATGCATTCTTGTTGGCATGCTAGACAGAGGCATTATTTTAAAGATCTTTTAAAAATATTTTGACTTTTGTTTCCCCTTCACACTCATTTTTAAAGTGATCTGATGATATCCTCAAAGTCTACAATGTCAATGCAAGAAAAAAAAACATACAGAAATAAGTAAAATAACACCACAGCAATTAATTGGGGTCAACTAGAAGTGATATCATTGCTTTCAAGGAGAGCAACAACGCAGCCTTGTAACAGGATTATACAGGCTTCAACTGAGAGACAAAAGTGCACTAAACTGTCTCTACATATCCAGGTGTGGAACAATAATGAGCAAGGAGGCCACCTAGCTAGCGTTCAACAATCAATTCCACCATGCTGTTTTTTCCTCATGAATAACGACTATGTGTCACTGTCCATGTCTTAAAGACAGCCTAAAAGAAGGTAGAAACGAATCCCAGAAAAGGGAAAACAAAACCAAATGAGATTATGCCAAAAGAATACATAACTATCATCTGCTTATCTACGTAAAGGTGCGTGGCAATTATGGACCAGAGTGAGGGGATGACAGAAGCCTCTCATACTACATGCAGGGCCACAGGGGGCCAGTGATGATGTAATAATCAGTCATCTACAGTGAGCTGCAGTTAGACCAAGTACACACAGAAGAGCTGGCACACACAGGGCCTTAGGGTGGGGTTCACTATGACTAGCTGCAGGGGCCTGGCTACACTGTGTGGAATAAGAGGACTTCACAAGATGGATACTACACATGATATGGGCCGAAAGGCAGAGAAGAGACTGGAGAGGGGTGTCAGTTGCACGCAAGGGGTGGGGTTGGGGAAAGAAGGTAGTGGAACGGGGCAGGTGTATTATGTACTGTGCTCTAACATTCTTTGGAGGTCTTTCAGAGACTGCTGTAGTTCTTTTTAAAAACAGGCCTCTTATTCCATTGTTCTTGAAAGACTGAGAGAAAGAGAAAAAGAAAACATGTGAGTGATTCTCTATCAATAAGGCCTCGGACAAAAGGTAACAAGGTAAAGAGAAAACATTTCCACATTTTCACAATAGCATCCATCCCACCTCCTCCCCGGCATATGCATGTGAGATTTCTACATGTGGACAAGTGCCACCAAAATCAGGTAGTTAAGTGGCCTGGCAGTCCTCCTGCCCACTTGAAGGGTAGTATGGGCACCAACGTTAGAATTCCCTGATTCAACACGCCGTCCTGCCACTCACCTCCTTAAACCATCTCATACTGATTGGCCGTGATGAACCGGGACAGACAGCAGGCCAAAAGCATGCCAATCAACTGTTGCCAAAGAGACAAAGGAAAACAAGAATCTCAAGTCAGTAAATTCCACCCTTCTTTCAACCCTAGGTGTACATTTTAATTGTAAATTTTTATTTTCATTGATACATAACTGCATATATTTATGGACACAGAGTTGTTATGATACTTGTGTGTCCCTAGATATAGTGTTAGTAAACAAAAGTTTCTTCACGTGAAGGAAAAATGGTAATAGTGAAGGAAAAACCTGATTTTCATTGTGAGATTCTAAGCTGGAGGTAGTCTAATCACTGGTATGGGGAGGTTATAGATTTGACTGTAAGGTTCCAGCAGTAGCTCACTGTGGCCATTTCAGAACAACTTCTGATACCAAGTAGGATTAAAATATGTTCACATTTGTGAGACTAATGTGAAAAAAATTATTAGATGATGTGGAACTAGTGAGATGTTTTAATTCAAAGTCATAAGCTTTGAATGATTTGGAAGCCTGAATATATTTGGAAGATTTTTTTCAACATGGTATAATACTCTGGTTATACTTGGCTGGCATTGTTGTAGCTCCTTCCTTGAGACAAGAATGGAGACATTATTTGTGACTGCGTCTATTTGCCAGTGAGATAAGAAAGTCATAGCTTGTAAGAGGTAGGTGGAGAGAGTGGGAAAGGGAAAGAAGATCTTTTAGCTCTCTTTGACTCCCAGTCATCAAGGTATCACAGACCTAAAGAGGTCCATATACACCCAGGGTTCACTTCCTAGCTTTTCAGGGGCCACAGAAGAGCCATTCAGAGTGCCCTGCAACCTCTTCAGAACATTCCAGTTCTCTACCTTGTTTTGTGCCTTGGCTTAGCCTGTGGCATGGGAGAATCTGATAAACTATCAAGATAACTAAGCATATCTCTCTTTTTTCATTAGAAACCAATGTTCTTCTGAACCCAGAGAATCAGTATGTTTTAGATACAGGCTCAATTGTGTACTTAAGCATAGAGGCAATTTTCTTTGGCCAACAATCCCTTCTTTTAAAGCAACTGTGCATGTTTTATTACATCATAGGTGGCAAGGACCTTCAGAGATAATCTGGTGCAGGAAGACCAAAGGTACCAGCACCCCATAGGATTTTATCAGAAATGCATTTTCAGACTCTACCCTACAACATGCTGAATCAGACACATTCAAGTGGGGCTCGGCAACTGGTACTTTCATAAGCTTCCCAGAGGAGAGAACCACTTTCCCAGTCTACTTAGTCACCCTTATCTGATAGGCGGAACACCTGTGGCCATTTCAGTCTGCGTTGGTCAGGAACACCTGCACTCTGCTCTCCTGGCTCTTAAGTCACCCCACAGGTTCCAGTTCTTGATTCTTATCTTTCTTTAGAGATTAAATTGTGCTGTGAGATACACAAATGATAACCAACATCAGGCAAGGAGAACTCAGCACCTTATTAGATTTGTCCCATGTCTTACCAAGCTCTGGCCTACATAAGATCATGCTATAAAATACATATTATCATGCATTAACTGTGAAGTGGCCAAAGGTATAATGGCCTTAACCTTCAGAATATGCTGCCAAATGAGAAACTAAACTCTCCTAGGAGTGAAAGAACTTTGAAACTTACAGCTTGTCCCTTTTAAAAAGATTGATATTTTCCAAGACCAACAAATTTCACAATATATTTCATAGCGTGAAAAATCAGATACTAGCCAAGAAAAGAAAAAAAAAGTATTGCAGGTACATAAGCATTCAGATGTAACAAAAAATTTCTGACCCTTTGCCATATTATAATCTCAGCTTTGCAGATAAGAAAATTGATTTAGTAGAGGTTTAAGAATCTTCCCTAAAATATATAGGTAGCTTTCACAAAAATTGAGGTTGCATCGTCTTTTTGTATTGATCTGGGAATAGACCTGGATTGTCCCGCCCTTTACCTAGAAAAGCTAAACAGGTCCTTTCAAGGGACTTGAAAAGAATTGCTGGCACAGAATAAGTCATCCTATGAGACTGTGGGCCCTGAGGAAGGCCCTGTAAGGAAGTAAGAGGTCTCAGAGGATGAATTGGTATGAGTGGGTTCTGTATGTTTGATGAGTACCCCTTGCTTTCTGACTAACTGACTTAAACTCTTCCCTTATGAAAAACCAAAATGAATTCCATCTAGGTGTTACGTGATACAGGAATGAGGGTGATTTCAGGTCCTAACATTTTAAACAGCAGTTTAAATGAGGGGGGTCAGTGTTACCATCCTGGATCTGTAGTAGTTACCCCACCTCAACTGAGTCTCCCCTCCTTCTGGAAAACAGCACTCAGCATAAATTTCCTTGTATCCTTACGCCACCTTTAATCTCCAAAACAATATGTGTGCAATTTCCCACAATAGCATTTGAAGAAAAGGGCAGGGAGAAGATGGAAGTAGGTGAGGAAAAGAGAAAGAGAGAGATGAACGGAGGGTGGAAGAAAAGGAAAAGGGGAGGCAGGATGGGAGGAAGCATGTCTCTGATTTTTCCTACACTCTGGTTTGTATCCAGTAGAGCCTGCTAAATTGCAGGAGAGTTGAAGTAGAAGTTTCATTGTTGTCAGGCAGCAATTATGAGGCTTGACTATACTACTGGCTCCATAATTTCTCAATGAAGTTTTCAAAGTTTGGCTTCTGAGCCACTGACCAGGATCAATGGGGCTGATTCTTTCTCAATAGACATCTAGTAAGTGGCTGCCGTTGTCCCTCTGAGGTCCTGGATCTATTAGCGTTTGGAAGCTACCCTTCATCTTGCAAGAACTCTGATGTTGATGGAATCATAAAAACTGCTGTTCCTTGTTTTAGGAAGATCAGATTAGAGACGCATGTGCAAAGATCTAAGCGCTAGTTGCATTGAAAATGAGCTTTTCTGCATGAAACAGTATATTTTAAAAAGAAATGGAGATCTTTTTTAAAGGTTAAAACCTCATTCAATTTTTTTTTGTCTTATAGGGTTTATACTGAGTACAAAACGTATAACTGTATTAATTCAACTGTAAACCTAAAAATTTACAGCCAATTTTGAAAGAGATACATCTTAGCTCTTGAAATTGTTATTGAATATGTCAATGCTGTTGTAATGAAATGCTTCTTCTAATTATGTGGCTATTAAATAAATAATTTTAAAAAGTAAAATTAAATAATTTAGCTGAAAAAAAAAAGACTAGAAGGTAGGAATTGGCTAAGCAATTAGGGTAAAAAGACCAAAGAAAAGTAGCCAGTTTCTTGGCTAAAAGTCAAAATGTCCTTGGGCCTCTTAGCAACGTACTCTGTTCCAAAGGCCAAAAATGTCAAAAATATTTGTGAACTCTTACCTAATCCTTAAAAGATTTTAGGGTACCCCTTCAGAGGGGGGAATTTTGGAGTAGCAAAAAAATCCATTAATAAAATAGAAGAAAGAGTACACAAAGCTATAAAAAAAAAGTGAGATATGGGAGGAATTGGGAGATGCATCTTTGCTCTGGAAACTGTTATTGACTATGTCAATGCTGCTGTAATGAAATTCTTCTACTAATTATGTGGTTATTAAATAAATTAAAAACAAACAAACAAACAAAACTGTTCCTCGGGCCTCTTTGAGAGATGACTCAGCAGTTAAGAGCACTGGCTGCTCTTGCAGTGTGTTGATTCCCAGAACACACACTGAGACTAACAACCACCCATAACTCCAGTTCCAGGGAAATCCAACGTCCTCTTCTGACTTCCAAGAGCATTGCATGAGACATGGGTGCACTTACACACATGCTGGCAATACATTCATACACATAAAACAAAAATAATAAATAAAAGGAAATTTAAAAACCCTGAAGTTCCTAGTACCTCTAGCTGGGGAAAGTCAGCCAGGACCACTGCCCTCCCAGGCCAAGCTGGGCACAGCATGTGTGGATGTTAAGTCTCTGCTCTGCTTGGCTATGTGAGTGGATGGTATGAAATGCACAATGCTGCTGGTCTTTGTGATTTCTTTTCTTGTCTCAATGACTATGTGGATCTTTGGTGAGACCTAAACTTGCTGTGGTATTTCTGTTTTCAGGAGACAAAGCTCCTGTTTCTCTGCTCCAGTGTGCCACAAAGCATCTTCAACCATCCCAAGTAAGGAATTTCTTTAAGAAAGCAGTCAGATGAATGCTCATTAGGTTGGCTAAACATTTGTCATAAGCATAAATTCCTTCACAGGGAGGTATGAGAAAGGTGCAGAGGACACTTGATTCATCTCACTAATGAAAACAAGATCTTCCTGCCCTCCACTTACACACTCATGACCATATAGGTATATTGTTAGACAATAAGCTTCATCCAGAAGGTTCTGGGCTCACTGATGTTCTCTTCTCATGTACAATGTTGCCATTATGTCATTATGTCATTGTTTCTCTAGGGTATCTATAAAGGAAGATTTCGAGGTAGGGGTGTGTGTGTGTGTGTGTGTGTGTGTGTATTTTCCCCCTGCAAGGTGACAGTTCTTTTCAACTGCCAATCACAAGCCGTCTTTTCTGGTGTTAGCAAACTGTGCTGAGGAAACTATGTTCAAGGCTGTTAAGTGCATCTTACGCATTTGCATGAGTCACAAGGTTCAGGATCCTCAAAATTGTCCCTAGGCCATTACAGAGATGTTACTAAGTGTTATTACTGAAATATTACAGCAATTGGGAGAAAGTTCAGGGCAATAACTGCCTTTGAAATGTCTCTGGAGACTGCGTTAATTGCACTATTCATGACCCCACTCTGGTTTGTCTGTGTGTCGGCATGTTGAGGGCTTAATTCACTTCAGGAGTGCAAAAACAAGCATGGTAAAGGAGAATTTTGAAATTATAACATGAAACACACAGTGACTGAGCCCACATGCTCTTGTGAGATTAAATATCATACATGTTTCGAGAACTTCTTGGGAAGAAAAGCACTTCACTCTCTCTAATGCTAAGATCTACTTGGCAAAGACACTTTGGCAAGCTAAGGAACTATTTCTTGAACTAAGCATGGGTCATATGGGCAATAACTTATTAAAGTGCAAACTTATAATTTAGGTACTTTTCTTTACACTCCATAGTTTCAATAAAAATATCTCAGGAAGGGGCTGGAGAGATGGCTCAGTGGTTATGAGCACTGGCTGCTCTTGCAGAGAACCCGGGTTCGATTCCCAGCACACACATGGCAGCTACAAACTGTCCTTAACTCCAGTTCCAGGGGAATCCAAAGCCCTCTTCTGACCTCCGCTGCATTGCACGACACGGGTGCACTCACATACATGCGGCAATACACTTGTACACATAAAATAAAAATAACAAATAAAATATTTTTTAAATCTCAGGAAAAAACGAGTAAAATGAAACTGCACTTGGTTGGGCTGAGACAGCCTACACAGAAATTAGAGGTTTGGGGATATTACTGAGACATAAACTGGGCTTTCTTTGAAAAATGATCTGAAATCTGAAAAAAATTCAAGTTAAACATAAAGTTTTTATTTAGCTACTAAGTATACTTGTCAGTCCTTGTCCCTAGAGAAATCTATAACAAAGATATAACATTTGGCTAAGAGATCAGAAGCCTGTAGGACAGGATCCTACTGACTGAAGGAGGGCTCGATTTTCAGATTCAGCTTAAGTTTGTTCTATACTTGAACATGTTTGGCTTTCTTAATTGGCATACTCATTTCTCCCATTGATATTTAGAAGGTGAATGGAGATAAAGAGATGGAAAGTTTAATAAACAAAGAATTAGATTTCCTCCTAAGAAACAGAATAATCAAATGCAAAGATCAAAATAATGCCCATAAGCTGAAGACTGCTAATTGTTGGCTTTCTTTAAAGGGAGCAATGCCATACATAATCCACAGAAGCTAAGAATGAACAAATAGGACAGGTCAACCAGGAAAAAGCCTCCCCAAATCTAGATGAGCCAGTTGATATTTTGACTTGTTTATGTTCCAGTGATGCCAGCACCTTGTTCAGTTAACCTCCATTTGACCTACAGAAGAAGCAAGTTGTTTTTCGGGAATCATTAGTTGAACTGTAACTGATATTCCCTTGATGGCAAAACTTCATTTAAGTTGAAAAAGGAAAATCAATAAACAGATGACCTGAGGACTAACGAGCAAGGAGCTCTGACCCCATCTATCAGCCTTCCCCAGGGCACAGGAAGACAAACTGAGAATCTGGAGGCTGGAGAGGCATACCAGAGCAGGAGGCTGAGAATGCCTTAAGCAGGCCTGGCAAAGATTATCTAGAGTACCTGGGAGAATGCAATTCCAAACGCAACTCCAGCAATGATCCCCATGTTTGTCTCCATGAAACTGGTCACCAGATCATAACAGCCCTAAAAAGAGAGAAGAGATCTCAGAGAGGCATTTTACTCAGGCCACGCTGGGCTTTGTGTACTTGCAACGCTTTCGCATACACTTCAAGTTTAATTCAACAAATACAATTGCAGCTCTCCCTAGGAATTTTTACAAGCATTCCAGTCAAATAAACCAAGGAATTCAACCATATACAACAGTATAGAGAACAGTACAAGGAACCCACAAAAGACACTTCTCCCAATAGCACAATTAATATATGGCCCATTTTGTTTCACTGAGATCTCTCCAACATAAATTCCCTTGCAAGTGCATCATCTACAAATGTCACATTAGTGGTATTGAATTTAGCAAGAAATATGTAAGTTCTATGATGCAAACTGTGAAGACATAAAAGGACACATGAAAAGATCAAAAGACATGACAAAATTTTGAACTGGAAATACTGGCAATCCATTAAAGGCCCCATGCCTTTAATTATAGCACTCAGGAAGCAGAGGCAGGTGGATCTCTATGAGTTTGCAGCAAGCCTGCTCCACATAGTAAGTTCCAGGCCAGTCAGTACTACATAGTGAGACTCTGTCTCAAAAAGAAGGAAAGAAAGAAAGGCAAAAGCTAACTCTTTGTGTCAAATCCCTTACTTCTAAATCAAACAGCATTACTAGAAGTGTGTGTGTGTGTGTGTGTGTGTGTGTGTGTGTGTATACATTCATTTAGAACTACCTAAATTAATTTATTCCCAAATCGACTTATTTGATTAGGAATACATCGTATTTTCCAGTTTTCTAATAAAGGACTTGAATATACAAACTGTGTGAAACATGAAGACATTAATTTAGTAACAGAATAAAAGTGGTTCTTTCTATCAGGAAAATTATACTAAGTTATGATAATGTCTAAACAACAATAGCAAATATCCTACTCTCATTTTAATTCGAACTGTGTTCAATATTTCTTATAGCTTGTGAAAATTTTACCAATACCTTACGTTCTAAGTGATATATTATAATCATAGCCTGTTTGCAGAGAAAGGGTGCATTACCTTGGCAGCAGGGCCACGACATGGTTTCAATGCAATTCACAAACTGTACTCTTTACTTAGTTGGAAAATTTGATTCTCTCCAGTAGAAGCTAGCTGATTTCGCTTTAACTAGAGACAGGATACATCACATTTCTTTTCAAAAAGGTAGCAGGAGGGAGAAGTGTTTGGGTTAGAAAGGCATCAAAAAATCAGGAAGGGAAGTAGCTATTCAAAATATTTCCCCAAAATGGTGGTCGTGAAGATAGTATGTTTGCCAAGCTGCCCGTCATTACACAGTCTGTCCCCCACAGTGATGACCAAGTGGGGGAATGAGATTCATACCAAATCAGTGTTAGATTGACTCCAAATATGGAAACAAAAGCCTGATGTAATACCACACTGAGAGAAGCAATGTGGGCATTTTTCTTACTCTGTAAAATGGTTTGGCAGAAACTTTCTCACCCCCTGTGGCTTTAATTCTACACTTAAAACAAATATGTGTTTCTAAAGTGTGATTTCTACTCATTTGCTTTGGAGGATTTTTGTTTGTTTTCGTCTTTCCAGTGAGGGGGCTGAACTCGGGCTTTTACACATGCCAGGTAAGCACTCCGTTAGTAGTCACACCACCGCTCTATCTTTGGGTATTTTTAGAGTCCGTTTATTTTTGATATGGTCACTCCTCCAAGCAGTACAAAAAATCACGAAAGTGAAGTGAGTGACTGTCTGGCATGAGACCAACTGTGGCAGAATAGTCTCTACTACACCTGCTCCGCAATGTGCAGGTCTTCAATGAGCAGCATGGAGCCTTTGAGAATTGCCAAATTGGAGGCCCCACCTCAGACCTGCATAACCGGCATCTGCCATGTGCCTGGGTGATTCCTTTTTAATAAATTGTTAATGAATTTTAATGAATTTTAACAAGATCGCCAGATGTTTCATATGCCTATTAAAGCTTGAGAAGTACTGTTCTGTGAGATTAGTTGCCTATTTTTTCTACAAACAAGGAATTGAATCAATACGTCATATCAGCAATAGGATAAATCAAAATGAGAAGATAAAAGTGATTTCAAAAAAATATTTTCCATTTCCGTAGTTATTTTCTCTATTATTCAACTTATGGCCCCAAAACCCAGTCGACAAGTCTCAGTACAGCTCTGCAGACTGAAGGAGCTGCTATGATAGTACATCCACAGGCCGCGTTTGCATTCAACCTCAAGTTCTGCACTAAAGCACAATCTTATCTATACACAACCATCTCTCTTAATTTCCTAATATGAAAGCCTGGTTGTCAAGCATGAGATAAATCTACAGAGGCCTGCTAAATCTCCTAGGAAACACAGAAACAGAATGGTTAATTTCCTCACCCTCTCACCATGTCTAAATCAGCCCAGGCACCAATGGAAAAACATCTGCAAATGGCAGGCTTTAACTATTTGGAGTAGAAGGCTACTTTCAGATAGGCTCTAGAAGTATTTCTGCAGCTACCAACCAGAATAAGCCCTTCTTCCTCTTGCTCTTACAAGTGGCCAAGGAATTCCTCTGGAGTAGGGTCTCAGGCAGTATTATTAGCTAACTGAGCCTGCAGACATTTTACTATCTCTCTAGCAAAAGAAAAATAAAACCCATCTCCCAAACCAAGCAATCAATTCCCTATGGAACTTTTCTCTTCCCCCCTCCTTTCCCCAAGGAATCTATATAATGTAAATTCCCCAAGTTACCAAATAGAAGTATAACTTCATTTCTCTGTGTTATCACTTAATGCTTGCAGTGTCCTTAGTCTGTGCCTGGCATTATATCATTCGATCCTCATACAAACTCTAAGTGGCAAGAAGTGTTATTTGCTCCATTTCACAGATGGGAAGAACAAAACTGAGAAGGATTAAGTATTTTGACAAAGATCTCACAACCAGCAAGTGTCTAATTCAGAATTTAAACCAGAGTCTGACTTCAGACTCTGTACCTTGGACTTCTGGATCCTCAATTTTCAGAAGAGGAAATGTGTGGAAAAAAGATTTTTTAAAACAAAAATTCAATGGGTGCTGCTTTTATGAGCATTAGAAACAAATGCTCACTCCCGTAGATCACTTCTTACCTTCTGTAAATCAGAGTGTCTATCATGTGCTAGGTATGCTTGGCATTTCATAAAATGATGGTAAAATGGTGGAGATTAACCATGCAAATGCCAGACACAACCTCATTAACTAAGCCCAGGCAAAGGAAGCCTCAAAGATTGAGTTCCTGAGAAAATTCCAATAGGAGAGGATGCTTTCCAAGCTCAGGCAGGAAGGCGTCAGTACTGAATCTTCCTGAATCATACCAATAGCAAAGTAATAAGTCTAGATACCAACATAAAATGGGTGAAATAGAGAAATGACCTCATAACATTCTAATCTCGAGAGAATAGATCATTTCTCAATGAGTTATTCAGTATTTGGACCAGGTTATATAGAATTTTGAAGATATCAGAAGAATAGAATCTTTTCCTTAATAAGAAAAGAAAATTTGCCCCATGGTTGAATAACCAGTGGTAAACTCAATAGTACATTTCCTCCTTCATTTCCCAAATCATATCTTATATAGTGCATCTCTCTAAGTGTTTCAGAATGTTGATAGGGCCCGGAGAGATGGCTCAGCAGTTAAGAACACTGGCTATTCTTGCAGAAGACCTGGGTTTGAATCCCAGCACCCACATGGCAGTTAGCAATTGTCCATAACTCCAGTTCCAGGGGATCCAACAGCCTCTTCTGTCTTCCGTGGGCATTGCACGACATGGGTGCACTTACCTACTAGCAGGCAATACACGCATACACATAAAATAAAAATAATAAATAAAAAAAGAATGTTGATAGCCTTCACACATAGTTGCAGTATGTCTTTATTGTACTCTTTCGGAAGTGGAATGCAGAATCGGTTTTCTTTCTCTTTGCCTACTGAAAGTTCATTTCTCTCTCTTGCACGATGTACTCACTGACTTCCATATCTCTTTTTGCCATCCTTTTTCTTTCTGCTTCTTTGGCAATCAGGATGTTGACAGTGAGTTGAATTGGAGTTCCTGATTTCTTTTCCTACATCAGTGAACTCCCTAAAATAAAGGCCACCCTCCTAGCAGAAGCAGATGCTGTCTGTCAACTTCACTCCCTTCTTCCTGCCAAAGACTGGCACCCAGCTGTGAATAATTTCATGTTTCGATGGTATATTAAGGAGAAGAAAAGTACCCAGAAAGAAGAAAGTGAACACTCTCTGACACAGCCATCAAGGTTAACAGGAACCATTTGCTAAACCGTCATGGCTGTGCCTGGTAGATGCTTGCTGTGGGAGAGCAACATGAGACCGATTGGAGACACAGCTTCCTCTTTCAGAAGTGAGCGGTGTCAAGTGCTTCTCCTGGACAATCAAAAACCACAAAAGAAGACTCTCAATTCCCTCTGAGGCTACCCTTTCTCACCGTTTTGTCATAGTTTCACAAAAGTAACAAAGCCCTCCCAAACATTTACCACCTGTCCCATTAGAGATGGGAGGAAGGAAGTACCTTCTGGTTGACTTTGGTGGCGGCCACAGTCAGATTGTGCAGATCCAGGGGATTACAATCAGTTTCGTTCATGCAGCAACTGGGAGGGATGCCATGTTCCAGGAAGTAGGGGCTGGTGCTCCAGTTGGTGTAGTTCTGCACACCACAGCAGCTCAGCTGTTAACAGGGAAATGAAAAGAATCACAGAGTTTTAGTAAAACACACTGTGGCTTCCTCACTCACTGCCCTGCAAATTTTATAAGAAAGACATCAGCCAAGCAAGCTCCCAAGAGATCACGCATAGCTTTTGTGTGCAAAGATGAATGGAAGCTCCACTAATGATCATCCTTGCTTTGCTACCCATTCAAAGTCAGAGAAGGAAGCTGTGTCCACATATATGTGTTGGCTTCTTAACACCTCCACAAAGAAAGCAGTGTCTCTGTCCTTGCTAAACATCACAATCATCTGGAAGAGTCAGTGCTATTGTGCATACAGATGCATACATCAATTACATCAGAAACACGGATGGGGGGCCAAGGCAAGTAATAGTTTTATAAAGTACTCCACTGACTCTAATAAATAAACAAGTAAATAGCTTTGAGAAAAAGATGTATATATGTGACAGAGAGCTGGTATTGGCAAGCTACAGCCTTCTACCTGCCTGGATTTGTAAATGTTTACTGAGACCTGGCCATGCCTGTTGGTTTATACATCACCTATTGCCTGTGGCTGGTTTTGTGTTATGATGGCATAGTTGAATAGTTGTGACACAGCGTATAAGGTCCTTCCTCATAACCTAAAATATGTACTAATTTGCCCTTCTCAGGAAAGGTTTTCTGAGGTATCAGGTAGAGAATATAAAAGGAAATGAAGCAAAATGATTATTGATTGGTAAGTCAGAACTTAAAGTTCTATATCATTTTCTTCTGAGTTTTCTGTGTAAGTTTGAAATTCTACCAACATAAATTTTAAAATATTACTGCTTCTGAACTAGAACAAACAAACATTCACAAAATAAGAACACCCAAAGCTAAACACTCCCCAAGTTGATCAAGAATCTCATGAGGTTTGAACGTCAGTAACAGTCAGCCTAAGTGCTTCTAGACAGGAAACGTTACTTGTATTTCCTTCTGACCCTCTGAAGGCACAGGTAGCCCAGACCATTCACATACCAGATAGATCCTCAGCTCCTGTTTCTTTTTTAAAAAAATAACTTCAAAAATTTTATTATTTATTTATTTTTTATTTTTATTTTATGTGTATAGGTGTATTGCCTGCATGTATGTAAGAGCACCTATGTAATGCAGTGCTGGTGGAGGACAGTAGAGGGTATTGGATCCCCTGGAACTGGAGTTATGGATGGTTGTTAGCTGCAATGTGGGTACTGGATTCGAACCCGGGACTTCTACAAGAGCAGCCAGTACTCTTAACCACTGAACCAGCTCTCTAGTCCAAACAATTTCTTGCCTTTCTTGGATCTTTTTTGTCTTTTTTTTTTCCAGAGCTGAGGACTGAACCCAGGCCCTTGTGCTTGTTAGGCAAGTGCTAAGTCCCCAACCCCCTCAGCTTCTTTTTGGTCTATTCTCCACCTCTATTACACTGCCCCATCCAGTGTATGCTGCTCACCTGAGTTCTCTGTCTAGGCCAATGACACCAATTCCAGAGAATCAGTCTTCAACGGGTATACCGACACATATTTCCCACTTCATTCCTTTCCAAAGATTCAGCTTTTAAAGAAAAATGAGCTGTCCTTGGCATGCTGACCATCCTTACCAACACAAAGCACATTCAAGCGAGGGGACCTTCTTGATGCTAACTACCTAGAAAACTAGAGCCTGGACAAATACTTGGTATCAACCCTTGAAAACAGAACTGACCAAGAGTTGGAAAGTGAACATGAACAGTAAATGCTACTGGTCTAACCTATCACACCACCAGGAGCCTGGCCTACAGATCTAAACCTAGAAATTATACAAGGCCCTGCTTCCCCAGAACTTACGCTGCGCTGAACATGGTCCACTGCCCGGCTCCTCTCATCATTGCCATTGTAGTTCTGCATGGCATCCGTGTAAGTCCTCAGGAAGGTGTCCTTGATCTATGGAAGACAAAGGATGATGTTGTGTTAGTCTACTGTAGCCCAATCTGACTGAGGTTCATACCAACTATTCCTCAGTGTGTTCCATCTATGTGGCGTTACGTTTTCCATTAGCATATACTGATCTATGTACAGCTTTACAGGTATTTATGTAGTACAATAACTGTTTCATAAGCAAAGCAATTCAGCTTGCTGGTGTAGTGTCAGAACTTTTACAAAGAGCCACACATGTGCCTTGTGGACAGCTATTTTCGAAGGAGCATGTAATGCATATGAAGGTCACTCCTTTAAAAGAGGGGTGAACCATTTTATCCAATAGCTACAGAAAGAAATTGAATGAGGATCAGTAATACAGGATTTCAGTTTGGGGAAATTCTCACATGTAGAATTTGACTGGAATTTCTGGCATTGTTACATGACATTTGGAAAATGGCGATACCACAGGAGAAACTGGCTAGCCCTTTATATGTTCCAAGTCATTTCCAAAATCTTCTTCTTAAATAGACTCTTTAACTGAGTTTTCTACCATGAATATACGTACCTCATGGCGAAACACAAACCCTGAAATGCCAGCAACAAGCTCAGCCAGGAACACCAGGGACAGGAACATGGCATACTGAAAATCAGGCAAACGAGGGCAAAGTCAGAAGGTGGGATTAGGCAGTTGGCTTTGGGGTCTGGAGGCATGGTGCAGCTTTTAAGAGGGCATATGTTCTTGCAGAAGACCTGAGTTGGGTTTCTAGAACCCATGTCAGGTGATTCATAATTGCCCATAATTCTAGTTCCACAGGGAACTGATGCCTCTGACCTCCACAAGCACCTACACTCTTGTGCACACACACAATCACACACATGTACACACAATTAAAAAACAAAAATAAATCTTAAAAAAAAGAAGAGCATTTTTTTATGCTGAGCATCTTTCTGTTGGAGGGATTCAGATATGTCTTTAATTTCCCTAGAGAAAGTTTAGAAAAAATTGAAGCTACTCATCTTAGAATGTATACACTTGAGCATCAACATAGGAAAGTGTCTATTTATGCATACGCATTTTGGGGTTCAGATGCTAAAGAGAGCTCAATTGAGACTAACATTTTGTCCATCAGCTCAGATCGATCAGGAGAAACCTGAAAGTGTCATCTACCCTAAAGTGTCCTCTACTTTCCATATGAGAATCTTTAAGCTAAAAAAATCTGTTCTGGAGGTCACAGGACATGTTTCTGCCTTGTCTATGAGGCTCTTTAACCAACTTCTTTGCAGTGGCCAGCTAATCCATCCCTATAGCTTCTTCTAGTTTGCTTACCCCTTCTTTTTGCAGTGCTAATGGCTAGGACTTGAAGCTGGTGCTGCTGTTCATTAGGGCAAGCTCCTCCATTTTCTCTGCCACATCTCATAGTAAGTAGCTACAAACCCATGTTATTTAGAAGTGTACCCTCCCATCTGTTCCACAAAACCAGAATGTGTACAAAACAGTAGGACATGCCTTTTCACTGTGTTGCTCATCCCTCGACATGGTATGTTCCACAAGTTCCTATGGGGAAGCTTGTGTTTGACCTGGGCACTACATGGAATTTATAGCCTTTAAAAAAGCAAGTGTACTATACTACTAATAATATTGTCAGTATCTAAAATCCCCAGTGTTTCTCACCTTATGCTACCTGTACTTCCCAAGTTGACTGACGCGCGCGCGCGCGTGCGTGCGTGCGTGCGTGCGTGTGCGTGCGTGTGTGTGTGTGTGTGTGTGTGTGTGTGTATCATGCACGTACACATGCAAGCATCTCAGTTCAAGGATGTTATATGGTACTTATGATGTATGAAGGCTTTTTCCATCTTCCTCACAATTGAAAAACAGATAAAAGGAAGGAAATTAATTCCTTAGCAACAAGGCTACAATCTCCTTCTCCTCATCTCAAAATGAAATATAAACAGAATGTTTGCAATGGCCCTAAATGATACTGCGGAATGTAGATGAACTACACATGGCCCACAACATACCTATAATGTATACACATGCCTTCTAAAGTACACAAATGTGCACAGAACAATAAAGAACTTCTCTTAGCTAGTGATACATACATTAAAAGAAGGAAACACTTAAGTTAAAAGTAATTTCTTTCTAAATATTAACGAAATTCTCTACAAAGAGTACAACCACTGAAGCATTAAACATGTAGTTATGATGTCCTAGGTACATAATTTCTCTGTCAACTTCATAGAAAATGCAATTAGAAGCATGCATTACTCTACGGAGAGTCTTACACCAGTCCTGGAGCCTACCAGAAAGTTGTGAAGATAACTGTCAGGACCCAAGTGGGAGCAAGGACATTTGTTTCTATAGTCAGAAGCCCTCTTTGGGCTTCCATCATCAGTGGTTTTGCAATTATTGAAGTTATGAGGACTATAAGATTCTAATGATAGATAATCACGTGACTGATTTCTACTCCTGTCAGCTAGATCAACAGCTTTCTGCCTCTGGCAGATCCCTTGGTCCACCACTAACAAAGTAGCCTCTTCACCTATAGAGAGTCTCCACCAAAAGCTTATTGGGCATATCTGGTATCAAATACAGAATGTAGAGATTAGAGGGTGTAGAGACAATCCTGGATTTGGAAAGAGACCAAAGTGGGTTCATACCCCAACCTTCCACACACAAGCTCTGTGAACTCTGGTAGGTTATCTTACCTCTAAGTATCTATCAACTAACATTCAAATAGTACTTATACTTCATAGTGCTGATAAGAAATTAAATACTCAGTACAACATTATAGCATGCAAAACAAATTAAACTAATGATATTTTCAAAGACCAAACTCAAGCTCAATCCCAAAACTGTTTTCTCCTCTCTAATTGCCTGCGAGTAAATTCCTGAACTCAGAAAATGGATGGTAGTATTGCATGAACTACATCCAGAAAAGGGAGAAATAACTGTTTATCATTTTCACCCTGTTTATGATCTTATATTCATCTATGGGCCAGTTCTACCTCAAAAGCAAATTCAGAGTTAGAACATGAAAGAATCCTCTTCTCTGCCCACTTCAGCCACAGTGTTTGGGCTGGAATATGATTTATTCCATACTATCCTTTTGTATTCAGCGATAAAGGCCAAAAGAGATTGCAGCATTGAAACGGAGGATATAAGCCAATTAGTATTGGGAGCAATCAGATCTTATCACCGGGTCTATTATCTTCTTGTTTGGAAAGACAGTTTCTAGTCTTCTTTCTTTGTGGTGTCTCAGAAGTTAATTTGCCCTTTACTGCTTAGTGTACTAAACAAGGTTCTCAACACTGGCTATTGAATGCATTCCCCTGAAGAGATTTTTTAAAAAGAAAGCCCTAAGGCTGTCACATCCCTAAACAAATGTAACTTCTTACTATATGCTAAATATGGATCCTTATACTTACACACAAGTATTCCAGTGACCACTAATCAAAAAAGCTTCTTTTGCAATAGACCGAGACTATTACAGAGTTCCACAGCTGGCCACATACACAGAATAAGTGTCTGTGAGATGCCCCACCCTAAGTGACACATCTACAATGGAACCTCTACACCTAAGGCCCAGGGAACTTAGAATAAGGGATAGAGAAAATGCTAATCAGTCTCTCAACTCTCATTAACAAACTCCCTCATGCAACAGAGGGCAATGAATATAAAAGGTCACAAATGGCCAAAGCATAGAGAGTAAGAGTCTACAGAGTGTAGGTCCCTGGACAGGACACCTATATTAAACTTTACCCATCCAGGGCTCAGGGACCATTGTAGAAGAAGGGGCAGAAAAACTGTAAGAGCCAGGGGCGGAAACATCGTAAGAATCAGGGGAGGAGGTGCATGACAATATGGAAACAGTCTTACAGACTCCTGGGAACTTGCTCATATGAACTTACAGCAGTGGTGACAGGATGCACAAGACCCATGCAAACTCAGACAAAAATCCACCATAGAACTCGGGAAATGAGCAGCAGGCCCCAATCTTAGTTGAAACTATTGGCAGCTGATCACTGCTGGGTGAGGGAGTGACTCTAGATAGGCTGACTAGACTCCAGTGGACGAGGGGAATCTAGGTATACTAAGTTGACTTGGTAGGCAGGCCTTAATATATATGACAGAATGCGTGACATCCGGTGCATCTGGATGGGGGAGGGAGTATCAAGATGATTAAGATGTGCTGTATGAAATTCACAAAAATTCAATTAAAATACACAATAAAAAATGATCTCAGAGGCTCACCACCAGAGGTTCTACCTCAAGTGGGTATTTGATGAGGGAAGGCTGGCAAAGGTGTTTTCTAAAAAGCTATACCTAGAGTTGAGGACCACAGCTCTAGAGAAATACTCTAATGTTCATGAAACATAGTGAAAAGCAGACTCAGGGAACTAGGATAGTGTCCAGTACAAGAAATAGAAGTGTCTCCATATGGCCTCATGTTTTCTCTGCGAACCTGGAAGGACTGGCAGTGGCCTCTCATGGCTTCAGTTCAGGACGGGGCTACATCAGGCAGTACTTCCATGATGTTGCCAACAAAGAGACTGGCTAAGCAGTTCCAGTTGGATAGGTGGTTCCTTTGCTGTGATGCATTGTCACACTGACAAATGTCACTAGATGGTAGTCTCTATTGCTACAAGCTTGGATTAAACAAGGACAGGCAACATGGCCCAGGAGGAATCTCGCTTCTCTCTCTCATGAAATGAGATACTTGCAATAACTCATTTCGTGATGGTTAACCTTCATGGTCAACTTGACTGGATTTAGAATCACTTAGGAGACTGACGAGGCATAACTCTGAGGGTCTGTGATGGGTGTCCTGAGGATTGGCTGGGGTAGGGAATAGACCCACCTTGAATGTGGGTGGTACTATCCCATGGGATGGGGGCCCAGATATAATAAAAGGTAGACATCCAGAGAAGCTCCCTGTCTGACCTACCATGATGTGAGCTGTTGTTCTGCACTAAGCCTTCCCCACCATAACAGTCTGAATCATTTGAGGTCATGACCTTAAATAAATCTTGCCTCCTTTATGTTGTTTATATCAGGTATTTCGGCAAGAGCAATGGGAAACTAATCAATACATATTTCTAACTTTTTGAGAAGAGCTCCTGGCTACTTTTATTGAAAAAATTCTGCAATGTTAATGCTCATCAAGGAAGAACACAGTAACCAAGAAATTAGGCAACTGATTGACAAAAAAGTTAAAAAGCATAGCAAGATCTTTTCAGTAGTCTACCCTTATCTTTGGGGACAGATCACTGCTGTCTACTCTATTATACACTACAGGGCTCTGCAATGGGCCTGGAACATAGTATTTTTCACTGTATCAGTCTGCTGAGTGGGATGTTCTGCTGAGTGGGATGTCCCACAGCACTTGGCCAAAGAGTAAAGTGGAGAGAAAAGCATTCACATGTATCCATGTATGATCAGGCTCAAGGAGGCAGGAAGGACTACTCCAACAGGATCTTGGACGAGGAAGGCTGCTTGTGTTCAGGATGATGCCTTGCCTACCAAAGCTGCACATCATGTCCTTGAGGGGACTTCTAAGCTAGAGCTCAGGACTGGCACAGAGCATCTTGCCAAGAAGACATTAATTACTTACTGGAATAAATGGCCAGTGCTTTGCTACAATCTATGTCTAGAAGCAAGGGTTGCATGTATTGTGTTAGGCTGTGTTTGGTGGGGAGACTGAAGGGTGGATTATATATGAATCCAGCCTAAAATTAAAATCAACAAATATTAAGATCTTGTCTGTGACTTCCAGAAAGGCAACTTTACCATGTAGATTTATTTATTTTTGTTTATAAAGGCACATTATACTGTGATAAACTTACCAGTTTCAGCATCCATGGGCTACCACGGCATGTAGCAAAACATCCAAAGAGGCCAAAAACGACGATAGTGGTGCCAGTTCCAATGAGCACATAGGGGGCATTTGTGGAGTTCTCAGCAATAAGGGAAATATAGGTGCCCAGAGTAAGCTTTCCCCAGACTCCAACAGCCAACAGGATCACCCCAGTGATCTGCAGAGGGGGAGAAGAGAGTATGAAACCATTGCTAAGAAAGGTGACAATTGACCCCAAGCACTGTATCCACACTTCAAAACTCAAGCTTCCATGAGAAAGATGGCACTTGCCATAGGATTCCCTGAGCAGCAGGATATATCATAGACCATTAAGGGAAATCATTACACAGCAAAGACAGTTTGATTTTCTGCAATTAGATTTTTTTACACACTCTATATATAGTTTTTATTTCAATTATAAGTCAAATCAATAATGAGGGGCTTTGAAAAAAAAGACACACCCGAGAGACTTCCCCAGTGTCTTCCTAACACTGAGTTGGGCATGACCCCAGAATGAATGTCAGTATCCTTCTTAAATGGCATTTGAGAGTAGAGACTTAAGGCCATCCTGCACATTTTAAGAACACCATATGAACTCCCCTGCCCTTCCCCAACAGATAACTTTGTACAATTATCACTGTAGATGACAGAAATGAAAGTTTTATATGGGGAAAAGCAGTGAAGATACGACGCAGATTTGAGAAGAAAGCAATTGACACTAATTTGGTGGAAAAACAGCCCAGTGGAAGCTGACCGCCAATGGGAATGGCCTCAGTGAGTTAAAAACCAAGACTGCAGATATTGCCAAGCATTCCACATCCTCTGCTGACACCTGGTGGTCATTTAAAAAAGCACCTTCCTTCAAGAGTGTCCAGCCACACTCCAGATCGAAACCTTAAAATGTTTTTTTTACCCAGAAGCATCAACTCTCATATCATCACCGTAAGAATGCTATGGAGCTGAATTAGCAAAGGACAGAGCTATCTTTTATTTTTCAATGCCCAAGTACAACCTGGGCATAGAATAAGCACACGGACAAAAATGCATTTCTTGTCTCTGGGTTTAGACTCTAGTCTATCAAACAGAACTAAAACATAAAACTTCTGCATCAGGTAAGTAAAATGGAGTTATTTAAAATGAGACCAAGGAGAAGCTCCCTCAGACTTTCCCTACTAGCACTATTGCCTAAATTTACAACCTTCACAATGTAAGGTGCTGAGAATGCTCAGGTAAGCTGGTGACTATTTATACTAAATATGTCCTACCTAGTAACTTTTGCCTTCATAGGATTGCTCCAAGAGTTCTAGTAACTCTTCATATATGTATATATCTGTGTGTATAACAGATATGTATATATCTATGCATATTATTATGCATATACTAGGCATTACCATGGCCAGTTTTTATTCAAATATGAGTGCACTGATGAAAAAGCATGCTGCTGATCAGATAAAAGAGTCTGATCAGTGTTTTGCCTGCATGTATGTATACCACATGTGTGCAATGCCCATGGAGGCCAGAAGAGGGCACTGGATCTCCCTAGAACTGGAGTTACAGACAGTTGTTAGCTGCCATGTGGGTGCTGGGAACTGAATCCAGGTCCTCTGCAGGAGCAGCTAGTGCTCTTAACCTCTGAGTCATCTCTCCAGCCCACAGCCCCTTTAAAGTTATTCTCCAGTATACCACAATCCTGATGTGACCTATCCATTTCCTACACCCATCCAGGGTCACGATTCCTTTGAGGACAGAAGCTGTGTACCTTGCACACAGTCAGTGTCTAGTACATGCCTGCAGAATGAACAAGTAAACTTAGAGTTAAGGAAAGGAAAGATGTTTCATGTTAGCCTTAGACCAACTCTACTCTCTGAACCTCTCTGAGGAGCACCGAGAAAAAGTAAGAAGGCCAGTCTGAGCCACTGAACAAGCCAGTGGTTTGGGGGAAAACCAAATATTAAGGACAGAGTGGAAAAAATTCCGGACAAGGCAGAAAATGATTGGGTTGCAGTGAACTCTTAGTTGAGTAAGATTGTATTTGTAGGTGGTAGTGGTTGGGGACTTGTGGTGGACAGAAGAAATTTCCAGGAAGTTAGGAAATACAGTATATACAAAGGGCTAAGGATTCATACAATACAATCAACTATCACTTTCTCAGATTTTTTTCTATCATAAAAATACTTCTTATCAAGGATAAGAAATAAATATACAAACCCAAGGCAAGGACAAAAGTCACTGTCATTTGTATGGCTTTCTTTCCGGTTCCCAGCAACTGACAATGACCAATAAACATACCCTTGCAAGCGCCCACCAGGGAGCCATTTCTCAATCATTTGGAAGTTTAAAATGAAAAGCAGGGGATAAATTCCTTTGACATGTAATTTCTAAGGCAGTTGTGTGTCTGAGCTCCGAGAAGGAGACCTCCTATTCCCAAATCAATACACAGCTTCTGTCTTCAAAGGAATCGTGACCCTGGATGGGTATAGGAAATGGATAGGTCACATCAGGATTGTGGTATACTGTAGAATGGGCATTGCACACATGTGGTACACATACATGAAGGCAAAACACTCATGTACATAAAATAAATAAATCATCATTCTATGCTATCCTGCTCAGGGCAGTTTTGATTTTCTCAGAAATATCCGTGAGGAAGCAGCTAACTCTGTGGTTTGAAGAGAAGTCGAATCAGAGATCAGCGACAAGCCACATGTGGCATGCTGCAGAACCACTGTCTTCTCACATGCTCCCAAATTAACCAGGAGGACAGGCTCACTACTCCACCAACAGTCCCCAGGCTGACGCTCTTTATCTCTTGTTTATTCCCAGTGCTCCACTTCCTGTGTGCTAACACCACAGCTCAAATTTATGGGTAGCCAAATACCACTAGCTGCTACTAATTTAGGCTTTGTGACAAAGCAGAACAAAAGCATAATTGTAGCATTAGAAAAAATTAGATCAGGACTTGGTGATGTTAGCTTAGTCATGCAGTGCTAGCACAGCATGCATGAGACTCCATGTTCAATTTCTAGTAAAGGAGAAAAAAAATAAGGTTAGAATCAGAATTTAAAAAGCTTTTTAAAAATAGCATATGTTAATTTAAAATTTCAATGAAAACAAAAAACCATTGAGAGGCTTGGTCATAAGCCAAAGTGTTCGCAAAGGCTCTGGCAAAGACTCACCAGGGTTCATTTTAATCCTACATTGGATATTTGGAGAGCAGGCAGCAAACATAAGTGATTCTCATGTTCCTAGCAACTGACTCACTCCAGTGAATACTGGGAAGTCTCCTTGCCAATCCTGCAGCATCCTGATCCTCCTCAGAGAATAGACAGGGTGAGAGGGCTTCCATCCCTTGCAAGAGTCCAGAGTCATGTGACTCCTTCCCACTCTCTCAACATATAGAGCACGGGTCTGACCAATCTGGTACAGCTGCAACACTAACAATGCCAGGTTTGGGTGTGAAACAATAAAGCCTCCATTTCTTCACTCTAAATCCCTATCTCCTACCTTGGGGAGCTCCATCTTCAAAATGAACAGAGGCTTTACAATTCTAATGATGATATTAATTCATATTTAGCATATCACACAATTATTTTGGGCTGGCTGGAGAGATGGCTCAGAGGAATAGAGCCCTGGGAGGGACCCAGGTTCTATTCCCAGTACCTATATGGCGCTTAACAACTGTCCATAATTCTAGTTCCAGGGGATCTGATGCCCTCTTCTGAGCTTTGCAGGCAATACACTCATACACATAAAATAAAAATAATAAATAAAATAT